AAAAAAAGAAGAAGATAGCAGGAAGGGAAAAATGAAGGCGGGGGGGGAATCGGAGGGGAAGACGAACCATGAGAGACTATGGACTCTGAGAAACAAACTGAGGGTTCTAGAGGGGAGGGGGGTGGAAGGATGGGTTAGCCTGGTGATGGGTATCAAAGAGGGCACATTCTGCATGGAGCACTGGGTGTTATACGCAAACAACGAATCATGGAACACTACATCAAAAACTAATGATGTAATGTATGGTGATTAACATAACATAATATAAAAAAAAAGACCGTTCAGTTTTAGTGAGGAAAAAGAAATAAAAGAGTTTTATTAAGGGCTGTAGTAAAGGTAAGTAAAAAGTCTTGATGAAGCACTTAGAAAGGTACTGTACTAGTTTGCTAAGACTGCCATAACAAAGTACCACAGACTGTGTAGTTTAAACAACAGAAGTTTTTCGCAGTTCTGGAGGTTAGAATTCTGTGATCAAGGTGTTGATAGGTTTGGTTCCTTCTGAGGGCTGTGAGGGAAGGGTGTATTCAAGGCTTCTCTCCTTGGCTTGTAGATGGTCATCTTTTCCCTGGTCTTCCCATGGTCTTCCCTTTAGTGTGTCTTGTAGGCCTCTGTGTCCACATTTCCTTGTCTTAGAAGAACACTAGTCATATTGAATTAGGGCCCATCCTAACAACCCCATTTAACTTAATTACCTCTCTTAAGATCCTATCTCCGAACATCAAATTCTCAGGTGCTCGAGGTTAGGACTTCAATATATGAATTTTTAGGGGACACAGTTCTTCCCATAACAGGTACATAACTCATCAGAGAAGAGAATTGGGGAAGGCTTTTTAGTAGAGGTAATATGTGAGTTGAATTTTGAAACCTAAGTAGGAGTTATCCAGCAAAGGAAGAGGACAAATAATTGAGGCAAAGGAATAGTTCTGCAAATGCATGATGACAATGGAGATTTGTCTTATAGTTTTTACAGGTTGTTCGGAGATTTGTAGGTAGTTAAGAAACAGAGACTTTATCCTGGACAGTGTCTGAGAGTTGTTTTTTTTTTTTTTTATTAGTCATTCTGTTAATTTTGAAGTAATTCTTATTTTAATTTATTCTAACCACATTTCTACTTACTGAAGAGTTTTAAGCAAAGAAGGGAACATTTACCTCTAATTATGAGGGAACATCTAAATTTTTATGTAAATAGACATTGCCTAAAGTCAGTTTAGTTTTTCTGTACATAAACAAGCTTGACTGGAGAAATACAAGCCAAATCATTCACCGAAGCAGATATTATTGGGCTGTTAATGGACTAATGAAGAGTGCTGATACTGACTTGATATACTGACTCTTTTTATACTTGTTTTAAAAAGTGCTTTCTACCTAGCATTGTTAGAAGAATTATATACTTTGTTAAGTAGCATGTTCTATTAATTTTTGTATCTCTAGTATATAGTAATACCTGCCTCATCAAATGTAACTGTTTAACAATTGTATGATAAATGAGTAAGTAAGTTTGTCATTTGAAAACTCTTGCAATATGCTAATACAATACTTTGTTGAGTTCTGGGTTAGGTTATTTATTAGACTTGAAAGTGAACAGCTTAAAATTTCAGGTTAGGAAACAAATCCTTTTCAAATTACTGAATTTAAAATTTCCTTTTATGATAAAATTCTTCCTGCAGTAAGCCATGCTGTATTTACTATTGAATAGTTGAAAATGAGGGTTTTTACATCCTATTAAGTAACAGTTACATTTATACATTATTATATTTGAAAGAAAAAAATTAAAACAATGCTTTAACACAGACACATAAAATATTTTTGCATTTCTAAGAATAAAGTGTGATTATTCTTAAACTGTATTTAATTTTGTTACATTAAAAAATATTAGAGCATATTTACATAAAGTCCAAATTAAAAATCTTTTAATATATAGCCATTTTCACTTATGAGATGATCTTTGTATTATATAGAGAAATGACAGTGAAGTTAACATAAAAGAAAAATTTGTTTTATCAACTCTTTTCAGTAGATCCTGCCACTACCAGGAGAGAACAGCAATATCTTTCTTAACCTGGACTTAACAAAACCATTCATTCAGGTTTATTTAAAAAAAAGAAAGAAAAGGAAAAAGAAAAACTTTTCTTTTTTTTTTTTTAAGATTTTGTTTATTTGAGAGAGAGAGAGACCACAAGTTGTGGGGGGAGGGCTGGGGAGAAGGAGAAGGAGAAGCCGACTTCTCACTGAGCAGGGAGCCTGATGCAGGGCTCCATCCCAGGACTCTGAGATCATGACCTGAGCCAAAGACAGACACTTAACCAATTGAGCCACCCAGGTGCCCCGAAAAACTTATTTTCACGTGGGTTTAGTTTACTCAGAATACTTTGCTCCTCACTTACATGTACAAACAGTGCATTTCCTCTTTTGTAGCCATTTCCTTTTCTTCTTCCCCATTTTCAGTTTCTATACAAATATGGATTGTAACTGGAAATGACTAGTAAGTTCAGTTTTCTTAGCATCCACTAAGATGTAAGAAATTTAGGAAGAAATCTTAACTGTTTTGCTATTGGATAGTTCATTCACTTTTGTGAAGAGATTTTGATCTCTGATATAGAATGAGTTGTTAACGTATGGATTTTTATTTCATTCTACCACCTTTACATGATTTTTCTGAATCTTTAAGATACTCAGCTTTTCCTTAATGATATTTTCTTTCTGAGAATTTTCATGTCAGAGTTGAAATGCAAACTTTATGAGATTTGTACTTTATCCTTAGATAGATAATAATTACAATAACACAAACATTTTCAACATTGTCTAGCCTGTTACTGCTTTCACATAAGTGCTTTTATTTATATTTTCACACTTGATTCTCATAACCCAGTGAGATACATAGGGCAGGTATGGTAAACTTATTATACCTGTGAGAAAATGGAGATGCAGAGAGGTTCAGTGATTTCGGCAAGATAATGATGCTATAGCCATCTAGAACTAACATTCAGTCCAGCCTTTCAAGTCCACTGCTCTTTTCATTATATCCTGCTACCTACTAAACAGTCCATTTTCATTCAATGATCATCTTGGACTTTGTCTTTAATAGTCTTAGTTTCATGTATTTGTATGTTGTAACCAAAACATTTGCAGAACTTTATTTTTCTTTCATACACACTTACTTAATGATGGCAAGTTATAGTCTGTAATGGGTCAGTTTGCAACTTTTGTTCTGTTCATATAATTTTTCCCTATCTTATTTATTCCAAGTAGCATTTTCTGTTACTTTTTCAACCCTTCCTGTTTAAAAGCTATAAACTGGCACCTTCTCTGAATGTATGAATAACATTACATTAATTTTGACTCTGAAATGGAAATTCCTTGGGTTCTTTCATCTTTATGAAATGATGAGGGGAGGCAAATGTATTAGAGCCTTAGCTTCTTTACTTTTTAGAGATCTATTGCTCTTTAGACTCTTTTTGATAGATTACTGATTAAAAATAATGATTATAAGGGGCACCTGGGTGGCTCAGTTGGTTAAGCATCTGCCTTTTGATTTCAGCTCAGGGCATGATCTCAGGGTTATGAGGTCAAGCCCTGCATCAGGCTCCATGCTGGGCATGGAGCCTGCTTAAGATTCTCTCTTTCCCTCTCACTTTGCCCCTCTCCCCCTCTAAAAGATAATAAATGATTATAAAAATAAAATAAATAATAGCCACTTTATCTAGCATCATGTACTGCCAAGTCTTTTCCATATATGTTGTCATTTAATCCTCAGATCTAGTCTATGAGGCCAGTTATCTTACTCCTATTTTGCAGATGAGAAAGCAGGTCAGGTGTCCTCAGAAAGGCTAAGTAACTCATCCATAGTGTAATGATTCTAATTAAACCATCCTCCTTTAGTTCTTTGCTTTTTGATATGCTTGTAGAAAGTCTTAAATTTCTCACAGTGTGCCTCAACAGTGTAAATTTGTTCTTACCTATATCTCATTTGACAATAGTATATTAAATACTCAAAGCTTGTTGGGGTGCCTGGGTGGCTCAATCAGTTAAGCGTTGGACTTTTGGTTTCAGCTCAGGTCATGATCTCATGGATCGTGAGATTGAGCCCCACATTGGGTTCTGTGCTCAATGAGGGAGTCTGTGTGAAGATTCTCTCCCTCTGCCCTTCCCCATTCTTGTGCGTGTGTGTGTTGCGCATGCCTGCGCACACTCTCTCAAATAAGTAAATAAATCTAAAAAAATTCTCAAAGTTTGTTGATTTTTGGAAGTATAAAACATTGGAGAAAAGAGTCTTTCATTTTACTGAAAAGAAATTAGAGTAGGTGCTAATTTGTGACTTAATTTTTTTTTCTATTTCATGTCCAATTGTTAAATGAGATAACAGTGATAGTACAAAGTCATAATACTGATTATGCTCCCTTATAAATGTAATTTTGTTTAAATAAGTTATTCTTTATACCTCCTTATATAGAGATTGTTTATGGAAGTTTTTCTTCCCACCTGATTATCAAGTTCTGAAAGTTTCTGAAATTGCACAGCCTGGGAGACCACGACAGATCCTTGCTTTTGAACTGCGAATGAATATTATTGCAGATGCTACAATTGATTTGCTGTTTACCAAAAACAGGGTAATTATTGAAATAATATAGTAGACAGTAGTGTTTAAAATTTAAACATGATTTTCCAGAGTATTTTTCTGGTAACTAGTTCTATACTTAGATTCATTTCTATGAGCCTCCTATCACCCTCCCACCACAATAATTGTATATATATTGCTTTCATTAAGTACCAAAAGTAGGAAAAATTAATAATAAACCTTAATTCTATAGTCTAGTTGATTTTCTTTTTTATATCTGGCCAAATTGTTTTAGTGCATTTTTAGTAAAACTTTGAACTTTTGTTCTTAGGAACTTTTAATACCCATTTCATATCAATGATGATTATATTTTATCTGTGATAATAACTGAAAAGTAAAGATGGGAGTATGTTTAAACAGTGAGAAAATAATTATTTTATATGGTTTAATTTTTTTCTTTTGGTAGGAAACAAATGCTGTGCATGTAAATGTAGGAGCTGGCTCATATTTAGAAATTAATATTCCAATGACAGTTGAGGAAAATGGTAAGCTGCAATGAGTACTTTCCTATTTTAAATGATTAGTAGGGGAATAATTAATCTATAAATAATAGCTTGTTATCCTATTTAGACTAACATAATGGGGTTTTTTTTTCAGCTTTCTATTATATTAACAGTACATATTAATTACATAATGAAATTTTTTGTGCACCTGGAGAGAAGGGAAAATTTTTTAAATCAAGTTAGGTCTTATGCTTTTGTTATACCCTATACTTCTTTTTTGTAAGACTGAGCATAATTTGTTTAAAATGTATTTTTCCTATTAGTCTGTTGCTCTGTAAGAGCAGGTGCTGTGTGTTTTTTTTTAAACTGATGTAAATTTGGTGCTGAACCCAGTACCTGGCACATGGTATATGGGCAGTATGTGATAGTATGATTGATAGGCTTTGTTTTAGGTTATAGTGTTAATAGATTTTGTCAGGGAATAAGCCTGGTACTTTGAAAAATATAACTAAGAAAGCAGAACATTTCATATTTAAAATATTAAATAATACTCTGCTGTAGATTCACCTGAGCTGATCTAAGTTCATTATGCATTTGAAATTTTGACTCTGATACAAGTTAATCAATAATGTGATTAAATACATTTTGTTAAATTTATCAAAATATTATATAGCCTTTTTCATTTTCCTTTTTCCTGTCCTCTTATTATATTTGTAATTGAGAACAATTAAAATGAAATTCTGCTTTATTCACTTCTTAAGAGAATAGCAACGTACCTGTATTTTTAAGTCACTAAGCAACAGTGTTACTATGGCTAAGTATAATTAGAGTAATTTTTATATCATTCTTGGCTCTCTTTACTTGTTTTTGTCAACTTTTTTTTGTTGCTGGTATAAGAAAGCAGGTAGCGGGTTGACTACATTCATTAGCTTGTATAAAAAGGTAGCAGTTGGGTCTACCTACTTAGATAATCAGTTGTGAAACAGTGACTGAGAATGGCATAGTGTATCTTTTCCCTGTAACTTTGAGGCTCTTGATGAAGAGTTAAACCTTACCTTTGCTGGTTGTAAAAGAGTGGGCATACTAAGTCTTGAAGCAGATGCTTGAGATTCTCTAGGACGGGGTGGTTCAGAGTAGTGAGTTGGAAAGAACATCTTTTAGGGTAGCCTTACTTACAGATACAAAGCAGGAGGAAAAAGACAGTTGGGGATTGTGTAAAATTGGGAGTGATTCAATTAAGGGAGTGCTTTTACCATTTTTAAACTGATATTGCACGTAGGAAATATTTGTACACCTTTCTTTTGTACAATTATTGGTGCACTGGGGTAAGGGAGCCACTGAGGGCTGAGGGAATCAATATCTGGAACATACTAATTATGAATTCATGCTCAGTGCCACAGCACACTGGTTGTGGAACTCTGAGTGAGTTACTGGTCTAAGGAAAGCTCAGTCAGGTTCTTGGGAAGGTTAGGTGGCTTTTAAGATGACTATCTGAGGGGAAAAGTAGATTAAGTCATAGACATTAACAAAATATAATTCAAACACATTTAAAACTTTTTTCAGAGATTCAGGTCTTTGAAAAAAAAATGCCCAGAGCAGGATACATGTTGAACTAGCCATATACTAATGACCATAGCATTATTGTTCATAGAAGGGCAGCCCTTCAAGAAAAGAAGTGAAATACGCTGTACTTTTCTGCTTTTGTTCAGAATGGAGCTATGTTATTTGCTGTCATTAATTACATAAGGAATAGCCATTGTTTAGAAAGTATTACTATATAAGGAACAGTTGAAAATGATGAAAACAACTTCCCTTGAGTCAGTGGGAGAAGAGACATAGTAGCCATCTTTAATAATTGAAAACTGTCATTTAGAGGGTAGGCTTACAGTTTTGCGCTGGAAAGCAAAATCAGGAGGACATTCTATGAAGATGGAACTTTATTCCTTTAGAGCTGTCCAAAATGAGAAAGGTCACCTATTAGATAGCAAGCTCCCCATCACTGGGATGTATTTGTATTGTGTCTGATGACCAGTTTTCAGGGATTCCTTCTTTGGGTGGTGATGGGAGTTGTTTCCAGTACAAAATTTTTAGTCACACATATATTTTGTAGGTTCTTAATTTTTATGTTTTCACTTACTAGGTTATACTCCTGCAATTAAAGGACAGCTCTTACATGTTGATGCCACCACCAGCATGCAATACCGGACCCTTTTAGAAGCAGAAATGTTAGCAGTAAGTCTAGAGTATATGATGATATGTATACATACGTAAAATCTGAATTTGGTTTTAATTTTTTAATACAAAATTTTAATGACCAGGAAGTCATTAAATAGTTAATCTTCTCATTCAAGAACTACCAGGTGCTCTTGGCCTTATTTTTGTGAAGAGGAGTAGATACCCAGGGCTGTGGACTCTGGCATCTCTCTTGCTCTGCTTATGGTTATGGGCAAAGTGAATATAAGGCAGTGCTAGCATGGTTTTTGGTCTTTAAGAATGTGAAAAGTTGTTAGAATATTAATTTTAAATTTTATTTTATGACTAGACTAACTCCTATGTTATAAATGAGATAATTTTTCACTATATGTTTCTGTCCCCATTGGATTCCTTCTTACGGCTTAATAAGTCATTTTGTTTTTTACTTGATGAATGAGCTTAAAAGAAGAAAATCTTACTGATACTGCAGATTACTCCATATTAGAAAAAATATGGAAATGCTTATAATTAAAATTGCAGATTAGGGATTCATTTCATTATGAGGCAGATTATTCCTTATCAGGGAAGACAACAATAACAATAATAACAAAAGCCACTACGTAGAATGGCTGATATTCAGAAAGGATTCTTTTATAAGATGGTATCATTAGGTCTTAATTGTCTAAAAAAAGCATTTTTTACACACATATATGTAAATTAAGAGGAAAAATGTGTAATTACCAAGAATATATTGAATACTACAAATGTATATTAAACTGGCGTATTCAGCATTTTAATGAATTCCTGAGCTATTGCTGATAAATGGTGCTGTGCCATAATGCTATTCCTGGTCAGGCAGCTCTTGCCTTTAGCAGAATCTCCAAACTTTGGCAGATGGAATACATGATAAGGCAACTTAAATACATGATAAAGCATGTATTTGCCAAAAGGGAACCTGGGAGGCACTGGTGGCCAAACCCTGAGCCTCTCACGTAACAGATTAGGTTTAAAGAGGAATTAAGGTCATTGGTTGTTACTCTGTTGGTTTAGCTAGAGTACAGTATCAAAACTGTAGTCTGCTTTGTTGTTCTTAAAGTTTTCATGGCTTAGTATTTCAAGGAGCTGGATATAACCACAGATACTGACCTTTAGCCACAGTAATATTAAAATCTCAAAGGGACCTTCTGTTTAGTTCAGTGGGAAAATAAGTTTTAATTACTCTACTAGTGTGTGTGTGTGTGTGTGTGTGTGTGTGTGTGTGTGAATTTATTTCTAATGTTCTTCACACAGTGTCACATTTTAAGCTCTTACATTTTTACTTAACATTTCATTTGCAGTTCCACATCAATGCCAGTTATCCCCGAATATGGAACATGCCACAGACTTGGCAGTGTGAATTAGAGGTTTATAAAGCCACCTACCATTTCATCTTTGCACAGAAGAACTTCTTTACTGGTAATTTTCTAATAAATGTAAATACAATGAGATTTATCACAGTGAACTTGTTTATATTCAGTAAGTTTTGCTTTTAGATTCAACATAGGGATTTGATGGTAGAGTTCATACTTTTTTTTACACTTCTTTTTGGGCTACAAATGTAAAAGGGAAAATTTAAATATAGGTATTTTGTATTCTCTTTTAGTGCAAACTAGGAAAATATCAATCCAAAATTGGGCTTACCAAAAAAATGAAAGAATTCATCCAGTCTGGTACTTTCTATCATCCTAGTGGGGGATAATTTGGGGAGGATGAATCAATTTCTTTCTTTGCCTGAATTAGGCATCAGCATGGTTTCATTATTTTGTTTCAATTATTGTAATCCACAAACAGTATATTCAAATAGTCAGGTATGTTATTTTTTTATTTTACTGAAGTGTAGTTAACATGTCACATTAGTTTTGGTTATACAACTAGTGATTTAACAACTCTATGCTCACCACAAGTATAGCTACTGTCTGTCACCATACAGTGCTACTACAATACCATTGACTGTGTTTCCTATGCCATGCCTTTCATTCCAGTGACTTCCTCAGTCCATAACTGGAAGCCTGTACCTCCCACTCCCATTCATCTATTTTTCTCATCTCTTTACCCTCCTCCCCTCTGGCAGCCATCAGTTTGTTTTCTGTATTTATGGGTCTCTTTCTGCTTATTTATTTTGTTTGTTAGATTCCACATGTAAGTGAAATGTTGTTACAAATGGCAAAATTTTATTCTTTTTTATGGCTGCTTAATATTCCTCTGTGTGTGTGTGTGTGTGTGTGTGTGTGTGTGAGCACACATCACATCTTCTTTATTCATCTATTGTGGACATTTAGTTTGCTTCCATATCTTGGCTATTGTAAATAATGCTGCAATAAACATAGGGGTGCATACATTTTTTTTGAATTAGTGTTTTCATTTTCTTTGGGTAAATACCCAGTAGTGGAATTATTGGATCATGTGGTATTTCTATTTTAAGTTTTTGAGGAACCTCCATACTGTTTTCCACAGTGGCTGTACCAATTTACATTCCCACCAACAGTGCACGAGGGTATGTTACTTTTGTATTTGGAGCTCCTACTTCTTTCCATTGGCATGGATATTGAGTTGATGTTATTGTTAGTTGGAAAAAATTCGTTTATTTCTTGAAGCATATTACAATAGCTACTCATATTACTTGGGTTTAGGATCATGTAGTCTTGGTCTCTGACTAACATAAATATTACTAGATAAAAATAAGTTGTATTTATATAGAACCTTCCCATAAAAAGTTTAGCTAAACAGAGTTGGTCTGATTTGCCAGGGTCAGTGGCTACCCCAGAGCACCTCAGCTTTACTGATTGCTACATTTATCGAGCCAGCCAGCCAGCCAGCCCTCCATCGTTCCCTTTATCCACCAGTCATTTACAAGCATCTGATCTGTGCTGAGTGCTATTAGATATTTGGGGATATAGTGATAGTCAGGTATTCATAGATAGTCCTGCCTGCACATTACTTACTAGCAATATGATGTTGGCCAAATTAACCAATTATTTTACCTTCTGTTTCCTTATCTGTGAAATAGAGATAATTTCTGCCCTAATTTTGCTATTGTTAGGGTTTGGGCATTGTATAATGCCATTACTACAATATGTTCATTCGTAAGTTTTTTATATTTGTTTTTTAGTTTGGGAACTTTATTGTGGGGACTAGCTAGAAAGCTTCTGTGTTCTTGGAGTTATATAATTCCTCAAGGCTTGAGTCAGGGTCCTGGTACTAGAAGTTGTAACAAAATCCCTGGCAAGTTAAACTTTTGTCAGTGAAGCTGAACATTGAGTAAGTACTGCTCAATTCAGATTTATTAAAAAATATATAACTAAAACTCACAGTGTGTATTATGTGTCTCTGTTCTAAGCAATTTGCACATATTGAATTGTTGAATCCTTATAATAATTCCTGAGATCGATACTATTGTTATCCTTGTTTTACAGATGAGGAAAGTAAGTTACAGAGTGGTCAAGCAGTTTGTCCAGGGTCACACAACTAGTAAGTCTGTCGAGCTAGTGTTCCAACCCAAGTCGTCTGGCTCGAGATTCTGTTATATTTAGTTTCTTCGGCAGTAGCCATTTCTCTCTCAGTTAATGTTTTGTATTTTATAACTTTGCTAACCTTTTAAAATAGGTTCCTATTTTCAAGCATTTAATCCTTCACATTGTTTTTACTCCAGACATCTCACATTCTTAGACTATAGCAGTGTTAAGAATAGTTGGAGTAGATAATTCCTCAAGATTTAAAATTTTTACAGTAACACTTTAATTTAGGCTGAGCATTGTATTAGTCACTTTCAAATAGGATTTGAACGCATTTCCCAAGTTACAACCATGTTTTCCCTAAATTATTTTCTTTATTTCTAATCTCTAAGCTTATGTGTATTGCAGTTCACTTTTTTTTCCCCCTAAATTTATTTGGAGAAATTTAAAGAAAATAGGTACAAAACTTAAGTTCTCATATCCCAGATTTTACAGCTGTAACTTTTATTCATATGTCTTCTATTGCTTTTTAGAATCCTTTAAAAACTTATTTATTCTTTAAGAAGGATGACTATTAGTAACATGCTTAGCCTGGGGATGAATATACTGGGTCATAGTGTTTGAATTGTTTTGTTCTGTTCTCAGTTTTCTCTTTCCCCATTGACAGAACTCTGCAGAAAACAAATGACCTAATTTGGTGTGAGGATATGCCTAATATTCCCCAGTAGCCATTCTTATGCCAATTATTAGATAAAGTTGTTATTTTATTTTATTTTATTTATTTGACACAGAGAGAAAGAGATAGCGTGCGAGAGAGAGAACACAAGCAGGGGGAGCAGCAGGGAGAGGGGCAAAGACAGCTTCATGTGGGGCAAAGACAGCTTCATGATAAATATAAAAAAGAGTCTCAGGAATAAAAGATGTAAAACAGGCAGAAGTGAAGTCTCATCTGCTAGTATCAAAATTGATTTAGATTTACTCTGATAAGGGGGAGAAGACAATGGTAACAATATTGCTAAGCTCCAGTACAATTGACTGGCATTTTATAGGGTATTTGTCTAACAATATAATTATAAAGTGAGTTGTAGAAGAGTTTTTTCCAGATGAATATTTAGATTACCAACTTAATTATTTTTTTAAGTTTTTATTTAAATCCCAGTTAGTTAACATACAGTGTAATATTAGTTTCAGGCATACAGTATAGTGATTCAGCACATCCATACAACACCCAGTGCTCATCACAAATTAATAACTTTTAAAAATTTGTTGTCTAAATGAGTAAGGCAGTCATCAAGAAAGTGCTTCCTTTTTTCAATTATTTGATAAGATCATCTGCTAATGAGAGCAGCTTTTGGTTTAAAGAGAAATACTTATTAGATATAGTTGTTGAGGCTAGTATAAATATTTTACCATATTTTTAAATATTTATCAGTAAAGATACTATATAAGGTGATAAGGAAACTATACTGCAGAATATCTTGAATTTCAAATAAAATATGGAAGAAAAGACTATAAGACTTGTTAAAATAGAAATTGGCTAGTAACTTTATAAAATTACATTGGTTTCCTGAGATGATTAGTGGATTATTTGAATTTATGTTTATTTTACTAGCAATTATATCTCAATCTTTTAACTAGAAGTGTGAAGTAGATAAATGTAACCAATGTAAGTTGAAAGTCTCTTATTAATAATGATTCAAAACAAATTTAAACCATGATCTCAGCCCACAGAATTTATGGGTATGTCGCTTTATGGGCATTTCTTGTTTTGTATTATTTATCAGTCTCAAGTATATTGGCATGTACACTAGACTTAAACAAATGAAGCAATACAAAACAGTGTATATATTAATTGCTAGCATAAACTGAAACTAACAAATGCATATAAGACATGAATACAGAGGAAATGGCTGTGACCTGAAGGCAATCAGAGAAGGTAAGGGAAAGACCATAACATCTAAAATGGTCTTTGTAAATGAACTCAGTGATATTAACTGATTATGTGCATAGTTTGTCACCATAGAACATTCCAAACCATGTTCATTTATATTACCTTCATGACTGTGAAAAGAGATAGCTGTTACTGCTATGCCTGAGTTAACAAGAGGACTTGAAGCAGGGAAACATTCAATGAATTGGTCAGACTCAATGAGGCTAGTAACTGGAAGAGATATTTAAGAACATTTTTTCACCTATGGACCCTGTGCTCTCTCTGTAGTATCATGTTGTTGTTAAAGATGGTTGGAGTTTTCCTTTAGCAGAGAGGATACCAAAGAGTATACTTATTTTAGATAGGATGAATAGTTTGAATAAAAGTACAGAACTAAAAATGTTGATGAAGAAGAAAAGTGAGAAAATCAGCTTGATGAATGATAAAATTTTTATGGTAGAGTTGGTTAATTCCAGAGATGACTTTTGGGTATCTCTCAATTGCTAGCCATTGTGCTAAAGAATAAAGTTAGAAAGTTGGGATGGAGTCATATTAGGTAGGGTAGCATGTGGAAGTAAAAGTTTAGAAGTAAGCATAGATACTATACAATATGATGAACCACTGTGATTGCTTGTTCAGTGAAATAAAAATACATTTAAAGTAAAATTGTCAAGTGGTGTTTTCCTTTATTCATAGAACAGGTTAATTGCCATATTCAATTGATTGATATAAAACTCTGCATCTCATTAATATTAATTCAAATTTTTGACATTTGATATTAAATGTATTGCCATTTTATTAAGAGAGGGATTTTTAATGTGCACAAGCTTTTGTACATTGCAGCTAAATTTTAAATGAGTTCATATGATATTATGTAAGGTAAATTTGACTTCTGATTTCTGTATTGAATATAATATCTTTCAGTTTAAAGACCTCATTTAAAATCCAAAGAAACTACTTTAAATAATTATTTTTACCTATTATTTTCTTTAGAATATCTTTAATAATAAGTGCTTCCATACATAGAGTGCTTACCCTGTGACAGTTACTGTGCTAAAACTTGACACATATAATTTCAGTTCTCACCATAAGTCTATGAAGTTGTCCTCATTTTGTAAAAAAGAAAACTGATAGCATTTATGTTATTCATTTAAGATTGCATTGCTAGTAAAATGGCAAAGTCAGAATTTAAGCCCAGGACTGTCTGCTGTCAAAGTGTGCTGTAATACTGCTTCTAGTCGTTTCTCTCTCTCATATATACACAAAGTTCTAATTTTATATGCATAGCACAATGTTATATACTATGAATATACAGAGATGAGCTTGCCACCTTTAGGAGGAGACCATGTCCTGAAAGATATGATTGCTGGGAGTATAGGCACGTAAGCAATGTGAATGCCTGAAGAAAAAGTAAAACCACTGTTTTAGATTAGTGCTGATATCTTTATATAAAGAGTTTTTGCCTTTCAAGATTCAAAAAAAAAAAAAAAGGTACCAGAGGATAAGCAGACTAAATAAATGAATAGTTTTAAAAAGCAACACTTAAAACCATACAAATCAGAGTACAACAAATCAGAAATCAGGGATTATTGACTGTAAATACTAACAGGGCCAAGTTTCTGTTCACCATTATATTCTCTGAGTCTAGAACAGAGTCTGGCACACAGTAGACACTCTGTAGGTATTTGTTTAATGAGTAAAACAACATGAAAAATATGTTCAACCGTACTTATAATTAGGAAATTCAGTTAAATGAGATAACAGTTTTGAATGATCAATTAATTACCAAGCTACATCCTCTCACTACCCCCAGAGAGAAAGAGAAAGGGGGGGGGGGGAACAGGGGGAGGGAAAGGTAGAAAGAAGTATAATGCAGGAGGAGGGTACAATGAAATAGTCAAGCATATATTTCTGGCAGGAGTATAAATGGTTTCACTATTCTCAGAAAGCAATTCTGTAATTTATAATAGCTTTGAAAAAATTTATAAACGTTGACCTAGCCACATTCTACTTCTGGAATCTATACTGACAAAGTAATCCTGAATATGTAAAATATCTTGCATGAAAATATCCATAAAATTATATATAACACAAAAATTTGGAAAGAATCTAATATCCAAGATTACTAAATGGTTAAATAAATCCTGGCAAATCTCTTTAATGAACTGTCATTAAAATTTTTGTTAAGGTATATGAAATAACATGGAAAAATTTTGAGTTCAATAAGAAAAAGCAGTATAGAAAATATGTGCATCTATATTGTATGAAAGTCTACATAGAAAAAAAAAAACTAGAAGGAAACCTATCCACCATGCTGGGTATTTGGGTAGTGGATTATCAGGTGATATTTTTTTCTCTTTTATCTTCTAAAGTTTCTTTAAAAAATAATAGGTATAAAAAATAATACATACATAAAATGCATAAAATTTCTATTTGGAACTGTGATTAGTAGGTAAATACTGGTTTGCTATTAAATCACTTACCTATATCTTAATCTTCTTTTACTATTTCAGTATAAAAGTTCTTTTTAGTTGCAAAAGAAAAATTCATTTTTGACTGGTGTTAGAATATTTATATTTTGTTTTCTGAATTTCAGTTAATTTTTGCTTTCTGTTTCCCACTACCATAATTTTAGATTTAATTCAAGACTGGTCTAGTGATAGTGCTCCGGACATTTTTTCATTTGTGCCATATACATGGAATTTTAAAATCATGTTTCATCAATTTGAAATGATTTGGGCTGCTAATCAACACAATTGGATTGACTGTTCCACTAAACAACAGGAAAATGGTAAGAATTTCTTAAAAATTAGGCTAAGTATTCTGTTCATTAAGACAAATAACAATGAAAATTGATGTTGACTTTGTAGTTTTAAAAGATACTAGATGTGATCTTTTTTCCATTGTCTTATAATACTCTCAGAGAACTACTTTAGAGTTTTTACTGGACTAAGCGTATTATCTTTCATTTTCTTAGGTATGTATTTAAGGCAATTTTTATTTAAAGTGTTATTGAAGTTAAAAATAAATTTTCTCTTTTTTCCTCTTGTAGTATATCTGGCAGCCTGTGGGGAAACATTAAACATTGATTTCTCTTTGCCTTTTACGGACTTTGTTCCAGCTACGTGTAACACCAAGTTCTCTTTAAGAGTACGTATAATTGGGTGCCTGGGTGGCTCAGTCGGTTAAGCGTCTGCCTTCGGCTCAGGTCACGATCTCAGGGTTCTGGGATCGAGCCCCACATCTGGCTCCTTCTCAGCAGGGAGCCTGCTTCTTCTCTCCCTCTCCTCTTCCCCCCTGCTCGTTGTCTCTCTCTCTCTCAAATAAATAAATAAAATCTTAAAAAAAAAAAAGAGTACACATAATTGTGTGCATTCTTTATTCCACAGGTTTATTAGTGTGTTTCCCCAAAGCTTATCTCTACTTTTCCCTGCCTGTCCTACTGCCATCCTGCAGTATTTTAGCTCTCCACCATTGTTCCTGTGCTTCAGTGTCACAGAAATGCTGCTTTTTTTTTTTTTTTTTTTTTTGTAGTTAACAGTAATGTTCTGTCATTCCCCTAAGTTCCCCAACTTCCCCTGAGGAGTTTTGGCAATAAAAAGAAAATTCCCTGAGTTGATTATTTTCTTAACCAGCTCATTTCTAACCTTTGTGGCTAACTTATATGTTCTTTTGAAAAACCCCTTCTAACTCTAATGTTTAACAGTGGATGAACTAGATTTTGCACTTTCCTTAATTTCATTACTAATTGTAAACATGAATTCAAGGGACAGCCACAAATACCTCTCTTCCTTTTCTCTGAAAGGCAGATTTAATGAGTTCAAAATTTTGTGGAATACCTAATTTTAGGGAATGAGCAATCAGATGTAGTTGTAGTATTGATGGAGGCTATGGTGGTAAAAAATAGCAACAATAAGAGCTGCTAATACCTATTAAACATGTTCTGTGTGCCATACCCTATTCCAAGTGCTTTACGTGTATTAGCTCATTTCATTCTCAGAACAGTTTTCTTGAAGTAGTTGTTATCTGCATTTATGAAATAGGAAACTGAGAAGCTGAGTTTATATAACCTATGTGATTGGTGAGTAGCTGAATTGGAATTTGAACCCAAGTGGTATAGGTTAGGCCTTCATTCTCTTAACCACTCTACTATGCTGCCTGTTAAGAAATCAGGCATCACAGCACCCCAATGTTTATAGCATTATCAACAATAACCAAATTACAAAGAGCCCAAATGTCCATTGACTGATAAATGGGTAAAGAGGTTGTGGTCTATATACACAATGGAATATTATTCAACTATCAAAAAGAATGAAATCTTACCATTTGCCACAAAGTGGATAGAGCTAGAGTGTATTATGCTAAGTGAAATAAGTCAGAGAAAGACAAATACCATATGATTTCACTCATATGTGGAATTTAAGAATACAGATGAACATCGGGATAAAAGAGATGCAAACCATAAAATAGACTAATTATAGAGAACTGGGTTGCTGGAAAGTTGGTGGACAGGGGGATGGTCTAAATGTGTGATGGGTATTAAAGTTAAGGGCACTTGTGATGAGCACTGGGTGTTACATGTAAGTGATTAATCACTGAATGCTACTCCTGAAACTAATATTACACTGTATGTTAACTAACTGGAATTTAAATAAAAACTTGAAACAAAATAAAATTCATATTGTATGTAAATATGTAAAATTTTACAATATGTAAAATTACATAGTATAATACATATTACATGTAATATGTATTGTATTATTTTTGTAATAATTACAATTACATATTGTAATAATATAATCTAAAAAAAAATTAAGCATCATGAGGAACAAGATTAGGGCACCGACCTATAAGGAAAAAAGTGAAGCCAAATGAAAATGTATCAATTCAGAATTCTTAAAAACCAGGTGATAATCCAAGACTTACTAGAATCAAAAAAATTAGTAGGGGCACCTCAGTGGTATAGTCAGCTTAGTGTTTGACTCTTGGTTTAGGCTCAGGTTGTGGTCTGAGGGTCTTGAGATCCAGCCCCGCATTGGGCTCCATGCTCAGCAGAGTCTCCTTGAGTTTCTCTCTCCCTCTCCCTCTGCTCCTACCCCCGTGCTCTTTCTTTCTCTTTCTCTCAGATAAATCTTTAAAAAAATTAGTAAAATGCAGAATATATTCCACCTGAACTTATTATCAGTGATTTCTATTTATTTATTTATTTATTTATTAAAGATTTTATTTATTTGAGAGAGAGCATGAGCGGAGGGAGAGGAGGAGGAGCGGAGGGAGAGGAGGAGGAGCAGAGGGAGAGAGAAACTCAAGCATACTCTCCTGAGCACGGAGCCTAACACAGGGCTCGATCTCACAACCCTGAGATCATGACCTGAGCTGAAGGTAAACACTTAACCAACTGAGCCACCTAGGTGTTCCTCAGTGAGATGATTTTTAATTGTTTTTTTTTACTGAGTTACATGTGAAATACCCATGAATACCCATAGAAGATAATCTTTTTACTGTTTTGTGGAAACTCTGTTATTTATTTCCTTAATTTTTTTTCTTAACTTTCTAATCAGAATTTAGTTTTAGTCTATGTAAAATCTTATTCCAGTTATTTAACTGACTGTTGATTATAAAATCTGCCTTTTGAAATTTGTTTATTTTCTTTTGAATTCTCAAGATTATTATAGATAAGTTTGGCTGGAAATAGAAACCTAACATATTTATGTTCCTGTTTTTTTACTTTGGGTTATTATGAATTATTTTTTAGGGAGAAGATGTTGATCTTCATTTATTTCTACCAGATTGCCACCCTAGTAAATATTCATTATTTATGCTGGTAAAGAATTGCCACCCAAATAAAATTACTCATGATACTGGTATTCCTGCTGAGTGTCAAAGTGGTCAGAAAACAGTTAAACCAAAATGGCGGAATATTACACAAGAAAAGTGAGTATATAAAATTAGTGATTTAAATATTTTGTGTTTATATATGGGGAAGATTCTTCTGATTCTTTCAAAGAATAAAGATAAAAGTTGACTATTTGTAATTGGTGTTTGTATACAATTAAATGAATTAAGTAACTGACCAGAATTTTATTTTTTATTCTTCAAAGAGCTGGTTGGGTTGAATGCTGGACTGTCCCAAGTGTCATGCTTACAATCGATTATACATGGCATCCAATTTATCCACAAAAAGCAGATGAGCAGCTAAAACAATCATGTAAGTGTTTTTATATAATTTGTACTTCGAGACATCTGGTTTTGTGATTGATAATCATTAAAAGTATAAGAAAAAAATTTTTTTAATTTGGAAATGTATCTATTCATTTGATGTATTTGTATACATTTAAAAATCTTTTAAGGATTTTTGGCATAATTACAACTAACTTTCATTGAGCATTTACTGTATATCAAATGCTAGACCAAGCTGTTTACTGGTTTACATTACTCATTTAATCCTTACAACAACTCTGTGAGATAAATGTTGTTATTGTAGATTTGAACAAATATGTTCAGAGTAAGTAAATAATTTTTTTTCAAGTTCTGCCAAGCTAGAAACAGAAGAACTAGAATATCAAATAAGGTGTATGTGAATATGAATATATATATAAAGCACTTGGTTTCATGAACTGTTAGTTTTTTTAATGCATTTTCACAATTATCATATCATGTTTCCCTGAAGCTTATGTACCTTATTACCAGGGTCCAAAATGAAATTAGAGTCAAGTGATATTTTCTTTGTATTTTTCTAGTGAGTTAAGTGTTAAAGAATAGTTTTCATAACTGTTCTTGTGTTTGGAGCTTGATAATGTCACACTGTATTTGAATAGCTGTTTATGTGAAAACAACTTTGTACTTTAATGCCCAAGTATAGATAAAGCCTGTGACCTGAATTTATATTGCAGGGACTTGAGAATGTTAATAGGAAATTTTCATTGATTCTGTACCATCTAATTTATGTATTCCTACACATATTTCAATGAAGTCTGTTTTATTTCACATTCTTAATTATTAGTCTTGCAAGTCTGTTTTCATTATATACTACAGATACTGTATCAGAGATAGTTGCTTTCATGAAAAATTACAAAATAGAATTTCTTAGTGAATAGTTACTTAAAGAACTTGTGAGAAATTCCCCACCACAAATTTTTTTTCCTTAATTTTTTTCAGTATCAGAAATGGAAGAAACAATGCTATCTGTATTAAGGCCATCCCAGAAAACATCAGACAGAGTTGTTTCTACTCCTTCTACTTCTTCACGCCCACCTATTGATCCCTCAGAACTTCCACCTGATAAACTTCATGTAGAAATGGAACTTTCCCCAGATTCTCAAATAACTCTCTATGGACCACTATTAAATGCCTTCTTATGTATAAAGGTATGATTTTTAAAAGATCTTACACATTTTTAAACACAGGCAAAATAGTTAATATCTAATTGAAATTGAGACCATTTGAAATAGCCTGTTCGGTGGTTTAAAGTTGTTGAAGATATATATGTTGACTATACTTCTGGTGCTAGAGTCAATTACAAACTTATTTATTTAAAATGGTGTACTTCTCAGTTGAGTTTTTATTTTGTATTTTTAGCATTTAATATATTCTAGGAATTGTGCTAGTTGGCTGGAGAAAGAGATGATACAGCATCTGTTCTCAAGGAAATAAGCTAGAGGACATAGTAGGATAGACATATATAGGGACAAATTTTAACACATTGTAATATAACACTGCAAAAGAAGTACAAGAGAACCTTGTCATCTGAGAATAATAAAATAAAAGCAGGAAGAGTCAACTTCAATTGAATTCAGTAAAAACAGAAAACTTTATTTCATGCTAAATAATAAGCAAAGATTTGTTTGGAGCACTGTCTTAAAACCTGAAGCAAATATATGAAAATAAGTTTATTTCAGAGTATGACAAATTTAGGTTCTAAAAAGTACGCTTTCTTTGAATAAAGACCAAATCAAGTGTTGATTCATTTTAGTATAATTTTTCCATTGAAATTATGTGACTGAATAGAATGATAGCTCTTGAAGGTTGATCAAGCATGATCAGGAACGGAGGCTATTTTAAGAAAAATATGTGAGTACTTTGTAAGTTTTCTACACATCACTTTTATTCTTTTGGTATTCAATTCGTACTTTAAAAAAGTCACCCCAGCAAGTCATCAATAACTCTTACTGATTTACTCTTTTTTTTTTTTTTAAAGATTTTATTTATTTGAGAGAGAGAGAAAGCACATGAGGCGGGGGGAGGGTCAGAGGGAGAAGCAGACTCCCTGCCGAGCAGGGAGCCCGATGCGGGACTCGATCCCGGGACTCCAGGATCATGACCTGAGCCGAAGGCAGTCGCTTAACCAACTGAGCCACCCAGGCACCCTGATTTACTCTTTTTTATAGGTAACCACTCTAAGCCTTCCAGATCCTCACTTAATCACTGATACCTTTCTCTGTGATTTGAGTGGTTATTCAACATCACTTTTAGCAACTTCATGAAATGTTGCATTTTTCCAGGTTTTTGCTAATTCACTTTGCTTCAGATTTTCATCATACTGTTGGATGCTTTACTACATCTGATAAACAAAGTGAGATTGTCTAAACATTAACAGTCATGAGCAGTAGAGTTACTTGTGGGATAGGTTTTTGTGTGAGTCTAATTTTGTCAGTGTTTACTTATTTGCTTCCTTTTGTAATTTCACAACTGTGGAGGTTTGGATATTGAATGCTTAGGTAATAGGCAATCCCGTAATGTACAGTGACAGGAATAATTAATTCTGGAAAGGGTCTAGGGTGATCAGGGTTGATTAAGGAAAGACAGTCAAGGTTTGTTAAGAAAGGTTTTCTGGAAGAAGTGCAGCTGAACAGGTTCTTATATTTATAAAAAATTTTTATATTTGATTTACTGTCATATTTACTATAAACTACCATAAAGCATCAGATGATACAATTTTAAGATAAAAGATTCAAGGGACATTGTATTTAATATTTGTGGAAATCTAAAGTTTTGCTTTGGTTTTAGGAGAGATTCCTAAAGGAGTGATTCTTCAGATATTCAAAGGGGAGAAATACATACATACACAAACATACACATACACACGTATTTTTTTTTCTTTCTTGTGACCATTGTTTGACCTAAAGTATTCTTCAAATATTTCTCCTAATATCTTATTTTCTTGGGATTGCTTGTGAATAACTATAAAGGATTTAAAATGCAATTTTCAAGTTATAATTTCCCTGAAGAGGCTGAACTATATTTTAATTTAAATATAAGTAATGATTTAGTTAGCAAATGAGGGTGGTTATATTGATATAGTACCAGTTTTGAATACTACTAAAGAGATGTTATCACTGTTTTTTTTGCATTACTGTATGTATACTGAACCTCAATTTTTTCTTTTAAAAATTCCATAATTATACATATTCGTCAAAATTAAGAGGATTATAACAAAGAAGAATAAAGAGAAAGGAGTAAATGCCTTTTTTCAAGATTTCTTTACAAATTCTCCATAAATGTAACCTCTCTTGATAGTTTGTTTTGATCCAGTCTCTTCCATGCATTAAGATTTTATAACAGCTGTTTAATAGTTTCAGAGGTTTGTTGTACTAAAGTTTTTTTTTTTTAATATTTTATTTATTTATTTGACAGAGAGAGGGAACACAAACAGGGGGAGCGGGAGAGGGAGAAGCAGGCTTCCTGCCAAGCAGGGAGCCCGATGAGGGGCTTGATCCCAGGACCCTGGGATTATGACCTGAGCCGAAGGCAGACACTTAATGACTGAGCCACCCAGGTGCCCCTAAAGTTTTTATTAGTATTTGCATTCATCGAATTAACATAGAACTTGTATGTTCTACTAAACAAATTATTACTAAACAAATTAAAATTTTACTAAAACAAATTAAAAATTTTAAAGTTTTAAAATATTTTTAAAAATATGTGCCTAAAACATGACAAACAAAAAATTTTTCTAGGCCAATGAACTGTGTGCTTCCTTTTATTGGGAATATAAGTAACTTGTCTTTTTTTTTTCTTCTTTTTTTCTTTCTGCCTACGGCCTACTAGAAAGCTTAGTGTCATGCTAACATGGAGATGCGTTCTATCTTAAATCTCTCTCTTTTAATTACTTTTTTTTCATTTGTTTTAATATATAACTATGTTCTACTTAGTGTTAGGATGTATATATGTATATATAAAGGAAAACAAAGAGAATGTGAAAAGTCATGTAACCAAGATTGTATTTTCCTTAGTTACTAGAATTAAACATCAGGAAATTCTGAAGGATAGACTAGAAAAAAAAAGAATATTTGACTGTTTAGAAAAAAACTGATTTCCAGGGCTCCTGGGTGGCTCAGTCATTAAGCGTCTGCCTTTGGCTCAGGTCATGATCCCAGGGTCCTGGGATCAAGCCCCACATCAAACTCCCTGCTTAGCAGGAAGCCTGCTTCTCCCTCTCCCGCTCCCCCTG